CATGACAGCTGGCAATCTTCTTGAGTCGGTGACCGGCAGACTATTGTAAGCTACAGTCATGTGAGACGTTGCTCTCAATGAGCTTGAAGAAAAAAAGATATCCAATTACAGTGCGATCGGCCCATCGTTTAACCTCGTCTTACCGCTCTCAGCCATGAGCTCACAGAGCTGAACTCCCCTCTGACCCTGTTTGTGACCCGGTTGGCTAATTTTCCGCAATTTTTGCGCAAACCGAAATAAACTGTTAGATCACAATTTCATGAAGTCTATGTTGCTCTCGATGTTACTTCGTGTCCAGCCGTGTGATGATGGCACTCCTGTTATATACAGTCGAAATTCACAGAGGCTCGTGCTAGCTGAGCAAGTGTTACGTCCCTTGTTGCAGCTGATCAATCAGACCGACATTCGATTCCTGATTTACGGTTCCTGATTCGTAATTCACTGTTCGTCATTTGTTATTCGTGTCTAATCCGACCATTGCGACATGACAACAAGCGGCCATATACACGATGTTGATAACTATGACTTTATTGGTCGATCACAACCCATTTTTAGGAAGATGACAAAGATAGAGTAAGTAAGCAAAGTAAAGAGTGTCAGAAGGGTGGCAATTAGTGGAGGCGGAGAGAGGCCAAAGGTCAAACGAAATAAAAGTAGAATATATAATCGTTGTGATTCCAATTTCCCGTTTCACGATGAAATCGTTTCTATACCTTTTCAACTTCAAGTGAGTCTACCGTAACTTCAAGTGAATTCGTTGTAAATTCAAGTGAATCCAACCAATCGCTTTCCTTTGGGAACCCCACAAAATGATTAGTGTTTCGGCCGTCAAATGTCACCGATTGGACCAGGTGTGTCTAAACCCCGTCCAGTCCGGATGAACTAACTTCTCCGTAAACAAACAAAATTACTTTTAGAGTGAGTTACCGAGTGAGGATGAATGTTTCAGTGGGAGGTGGGGGGGGGAGCTGAGGTACATGCTAAGTATCTTATCAAGTGTGCATTTCAATGTCAGAAATACGTAAGCAATCGCATTTCATTCAAAGGAATCGGTTTTATTCGAGAGAAACCCGGCCTCAATGGAATTTATTCATTGGGTTATTGAGGGTTTACACTGACTCCATTCATTCAATGAATCGTGCTCACATTCACGTCTGGGCATGGTGACCGACTTATCGATCCATCTTGACGTGGTTCGCTTCCTTACCCGACCGACAGAGGTCCATTAACTCCGGGTTCGATCAAAATCACGAACAAACGTTCCCTTGTGGAACGGGTGTGTCGGGGACGGAGGAGAACGGCCCACGTAACCTCCCTCCCCAGAAACATTCATCCTCGCTCGGTAACTCACTCTAAAAGTAATTTTGTTTGTTTACGGAGAAGTTAGTTCATCCGGACTGGACGGGGTTTAGACACACCTGGTCCAATCGGTGACGTTTGACGGCCGAAACACTAATCATTTTGTGGGGTTCCCAAAGGAGTGCTATTGGTTGGATTCACTTGAATTTACAACGGATTAACTTGAAGTTGAGATGGGATGAGATTTTATCTTATTTTCCTAAGAATTTAATTCCTACGTAGTGATACATATTGAGATGTTGTGGCATGAAAACGAGATGAAAACGAGATTGTTCACCACTTTGTTGTTTGGTTGAAATGTGTCCTGTGGGACTCTTTCGATAAAATTAGGGAGACTGCATGAACTGTTCCAAATTTTGATGAGTATTACGAGCTGAAGAGAGAGGGCGGAGGGGGGGAGTATGTAACGTATGGTCCAACAGAAAAGATATGCCACGCATAGCAGGTCAGTGGAGAACTAAAAAGTAATTAACTGTTAGGAATATGGTGGGTGATGCAGTGATCGGCCATTCAAATATCTGTACGTTTATCGTCTAATAGTTGAGATTTTTGGTTACCTTTTTGCTTACTGGGTTGAGCTACTAAATCGAAAGCTTCCGTCGGGATTGAATCGATGATCTCCCTACTCCGCTCAGTTCGAATCGCAAAATCGTCGCTGGACAAGACATTATATGAAAGGATACACCCCACGGTCTATTTTGAAGGACTCGGTTTTCAAAACGGGTCTTAATACACTCTTGTAAATCCATTTCATGACAACAAATAATTCTCATACTTCAAACCTCATCAAAGTAAGAAATATTCAGAGTAATTTAAAACACCAGATAAACTTATAGATTGAGCCGGTTTGAATTTATTGCAGATTGATAAATTAGAAATTGGCAGTATGTGGTGATAGCGCAAATTGTGTATACATGGATTTGATGCAGCTTGGTCTGGAATGATCACCGATAAAGTTGTTATACCATACAGTAAAAAAATGCACTTACTGGATTGTATTCCAAATATGATTCCAAAAGAACAGCTCCCTTCGCACGTTTCCTCAGTTTCTTATCCTTCAGTGCATACCATTTGCAACGGCGATTGGCAAGCTAAAAAGAAACAAAGCAGATAAATGATAAAACAAACAAGTTTTGTTGTTTCCACGTTTTACAACACTCATGTAGTTTTAGCGAGTTCAACAATAACAATATAACTTTGATACGCTAAATTGTAAACGAGCTGTGATCACCAAACTTGCAGCTCAGGCCATATATGGTACTGCACACAATTCCGTGTGTGCGGTGTATATGAGCCCTACTACTTCTAGTCTAGTGGGGATCAAGTCAACAGTTTTGTATCTCTAATAACATCCTAACTCTTAGACCACTGATAATTAGACCAGCTACGGAAGTCCTGTTTGGTTCACACAACTTGCTACTTGTATGCGTTGTGTACATTTACTTTGGTCACTCCCTCGAGTGCCAGTGGATTTCGAACCCTGGTTGTCCGTAATCTCTTGACGTACCTGCTATTTTCATTGTGAGTTACTTTGGGTGTGATGTGCAGAACAAAGAGCATGTGAGCCTAAAAACTAAGAAGCCCCGTGTAGCTGTTTTTGATTGAAGGTCGACGGAGGAAGATAACCGTTTTTCCGTACTGACAACTTTCACAGTGAGCGCAATCAATACATTTTACCACCTACCAACGATTCGAAATACAACAATAAATGTAGCTGGTCAGTTCACAAATCCAAAACATAGCCCTCTTTTTAATCAAAATACAAAATCAAGCGAACGTACCTGAATAACCGGAAAGCATAATTGCCCGAGCAATTCGGGGCTATGTTTGTCCTCATGCATAACCATGATTTCCAAAACATCATAGATATCGCTAATTGGACTGCAGTTGCCATTCGGTTGAAGGGTGTGGAAGGACGTACCGGTGGCGAGATGGAGAGTTTACCGGGAGGGGGGAAGTAAAGTAGATATGATGCATCATGAAACTGCTGATTCCGCGCAAGAAATTCGAGGGGGCAACAAATGTCCAACTATCTGAAACAAATGATTATTTAACTCCCGGGGTGCATACAAAATATCTTTTTTTTCATGGCAAATTTCCGTTCCAAATTTAGCAGCCATTATTCATCTCAGGGAAATCCCTCTGATCATTCGTAATGATTTTCATAACAAAGCTTAGGTAATGATAAAAGAACATGCACAAAATCTGTGGATACGGAGGGACCGGGGTAAGCTGACGGCCCTCCGAGGGCTTCTCAAGGACCCTGGGAGGGCGGTGTTGGATGCAGTGCAAGGAGGCCCGGAGCAGATGGATTGGGCCACCGCAAAAAACGCCGTTATCTCGGGTTTCGACAACTCAGCCAACGGCCAGAAGTCATTGAGGAGCTTTAGGACGGTGCAGCTCGGAGTTGGTGGGGAACCCTGCCACATATCGTGGCCCTGCGCGTCCTGTTGAATCGAACGCTCCCGACGTTGGACGATACCGCAAGTTCGGAATTACTGCTCGATCGTTTCACGGAGAGCCTGCCGGAAGACTTGCGCGAAACGGCATGGATAATTAATGCAGAGAAGACCGTGGATGTATTTAAACCGGTGGATGTCCTTAAGAAGTTCACTTGAAAGACAGTCACTTCTGTGCAATCAACCGAAGACCCTAGACGCCAGCCTACAGGAGATACGACAAATATCAAGAAACTAACAGAGGAGTTGGCGGTCACCCGAAACCATTACGAACCGAGAGCTGTCCAGAAGGGGAATTTTGAGCGTGAAGAGCCAAAGTGCTCGCAGAAAAATTGTCCCGAAATACATCCCAAGTGGTCTATGATAGAACCCCTTATTTTGCTCAAATCGTTGTCCTCGGTCAAGGCTCCATCCAGAACGACTGGTCATTGTTCAGTTTGGACCCATACGGAGATAGGGGATTAGAAAGAGCCATTTTTGCTTGATTCACGCATTGCAGTTTCATTGGCAAAATCCCAATCATCGGAGTCAGCTGAATCCTGGGATACAGTAGGAAAACTGGCAGCTAAAACAGGCCGTAGTTTGACATCGCAACAAATCGGACTAACTCTGTCGAGAACATAATGGACAGACAAAATTGTGACAGATTGTCAGCTAAAACGACGAGCGAGCTAAGAATACAAGTGAAATGGAAACCACGCACACTTCCAAAAGTGCTGAAAGTACAGTACAAACACCATGTCGGAGGCCGTGTCGGTAACCTTGGCTCAAGAAAGTTACTGTCCAGATTGGAAACATCATGTAAAACGCGAAAAGAGAAGCATCTAGTGAACAAAGTTCAGAAGACGAACGGCGACAAGTGTGTGCATCAAAGTTAACTCGATAGATGGCGTTGTGACTATAACCGTAAGCCAAAGAGTAACCAGAAGTCAACCTACTGGCCAGGTCACAAAAGTCATTCATGAAACGAAAAGAACTTGTCAACCAAAAACTCGTTCGAATTCCCAAAAGAAAGACATCATGGCTCGCTGCATGCAAAGTTCATTTTCATCGGTGAAAGGAGTGTTGTGAGGTGCTAATCACATTTGTGATTAGTTTGCAAAAGGATATGATTGGCGGTTTCTTACACCGGTCAAAAATGAACAGGACTTGTTTGAGAGAATTTTTTTATTCAGTGTGATAGCGCTTCTACCATCTGGCTGTTCTATTACCCATCCTGTGTGCGTATGGGGATTTGGAAGAGTCGTGTTAAGTGGGACATTCTGTTGTGTGGATGTCAATTTACCGATATCCTAACAGTTATTCATAATAAATAACTATCCTAACCCAGGCACTGCCTTTTGAAATTATGACAGTAGTAGTAGTAGTAGCGGCGGTAGTAGTAGAGTTTCATAAATCCCCTGCCGGGTTAAGGTGTGGCTGTTAGGGACCAGCATCAGACAGGGTTAAATAAAATTACAACTCAAAATATTTAAATTGCAGCAGTTGGTTAGTACCTCGTGAACTTTTGATTATTGATGATCATCTGCGCAACAATCTGTTTGTCTCCTTTAATCCACTCGGAGATGTACTGAAAATGCAACAACAGTTTTCATGTGCGCGCGCTAAACACACTACTCACAAATGTAAGTAGTATCCTACAGTAGTGATAGTTTAACAACCTATTCGAAAAAAACTATTCAACACTGACTATCGATTAGTTATTTGATTTCCCGCCTCTTTGTGATCGTTATCATTCTTTGTATGTGTTGTGCAGTAGGTGACCTGAAATGCGTGGGTTGGAGTGTGGAACAGTGCTTTTGTTCGAACAAGTGTTGTGCTATCTAAGATCTAAGTCTTTGTTGATCATTTATGACGTAACGATCACAACACAATAAACACAAAGTTACTGAAAATTGCCATTTATACTGTAAGCCCCGATCTATGCAAACAACGTGAGTGACTAGTCACATTAGTTTTGCCTTGCTGATTGACCCCAACCCTCTCTCGCTATCATTCTGTTGGTCACATGGTTCTCTGAACATAGTGCAGATCTTGATGTTGATTCATGCTGCTAGTCTGATTACGATCCAGAAGGCAATCGAAATTAGTTGACCACTATTTTGCGCACGTTTGGTTTATGTGCTTTAGTATTTGGGGCTATCAACCTCTGTGTGCAGGTCGCAGATGACGACCTAACTACGCTGGTTGTAGTCCAGGGCCATTGATGAGACCCAACCAGATCGATACTACTGCACTGTGCTTCCTAGCTTTTCAGCTGACACTTCGTTTGCTATCAACACGACAAAGTCCAGTATGTAATACAAAACAATATTCTATTGGTTTGTTTAGCTTGATTATCATATTTTAAAACAGCGGTTTCTTGGGTGGGAATGAGTTTTCTCTATCACAATAATCCGAATGAGATGTTTGTAAAAAGTTAATTGAGGATAGTTGCGGAATGATGTCTGAAAACAGATGTCCGTTTTATCTGTGCGACAGCACGTTGGGATCAAAAGCGTAGAAATGACTTGATCGAAAAGCACAATCAAGACCGAGATCCAGGGAACTGGTGGTTGCTTTCAGGGAATTTCGGTTTCATGCAGCCAGTTCCCTTTAACATTTTCATGAGGGCAATAGGAAGCATGATGATCACAGGATTTGTTGAATTCAGCTATTTCGTGGCAATCTCATCAGCTATGGACATACATTCGGATCACATTTAGTTGAAGGAGTGACAGGTTCGGGGACAGGCGAAAACACACGGGGAAGAGAAATCAATCAATACGAAGGCCACAGGTCACTTATATGAACCGGATTGGAAATAGGGTCAGGAAGTGAAGGAGAGAGGGAGGAGGACAGTGACACCTACCAGCGGGAAGCGCGAGGCTAGCCACAAATTCGGTCTCTTTACACAAGTCGGGTTTGTAACATCGAATGGCAGCCGCTTCAGCGAACCGTAGTAGACGGCTAACTTTTTGTCGGATCAAGATACGAAAGGCTTCCCTTGGTTTGTCATATTCTTTGCAATCCAGTATATGTCGGGTGATTGAACTAGACGGAAGCCTGGACCCGTTAGACAATCGTCTCTCAGTTTTTCCAACTCACTTGCTACCACAAATACATTCAAATAGGTAAACACAGGAGGAGGTAACTGAAGAGTCGGATTTGTCTAGATTGGATTCAACCAGTCACTCATTTAACCAAACGTGATTCGAATGTATGTACACAGCTGATGTGATTACCACGAAGTAGTTGAATTCAACACATGCTGTGATCATGATGCTTCTTCTTGCTCTCATGAAAATTTTGGTTTCATTATCAGATTTACTGAGGGTAGAAGAATTTCGACCCAGAAGTCATACTGACGTTTCTCCGAAGACGTAAATCAGGCTGCTGTGACGAAAAGAATAACTATTCGATCTGGCTGATAAAGGTACACCACCAAAAATACAAATATATTACAGCAGACTGTCGAGGGCCTGAGCGAAATATCATGTGAATATTCAATAATTGGCACAATTATCGATACGGATCCAACCAACAACAACACTCACAATACGAAAGATTGGTTCCAAATTGGATTCACCGTTTTATAGACAGTCGAAGTGTGAACGGAACGATTGACCACACGAACCCAGCAGTACGGGTCCGATTTTCCTCCCCGATCCACCGAGGCCAAATCTCGAGCTCCACGAACTAGAAAAAGACAAGAAATAATTTTAGATCAGATCGGAGAGCCAGTGGAAAGAACGATTGTTAAAATAATTTATAAGAATGGTAATCCCAATCTCTCTTGATTGAATACGCCAAACCCAAATTGTCTCATTGATCGTGAGAGTGCATATACTTGAGAAGAATCTCTTATGCTTAAGAAATTTTAAAAAAAAATATCTTTTTACTTCTTTTTTATTTACTGAATATACAATTGTAGCCAACATTCGGGAAGGGGGCCGCGCCCATACAAAGGCTATCCGGGAAGATGGGCGGCGGTGGAGTGGTCCGAATCCCGGACTTCCAAATCACAAGTTAGTGACCTGATCACTGGGCCACCACCGCCCTTTGCAGTATGAACTTACCGACCAGATGAAGCCAGCCCACATCTTTTCTATTCTCGAATGTTCTTGGAAGGCTCTGTAAAATGAATTAAAATGGAATAAAATTCTAGATATTCATGGTTTAATTCGCAAATAATATAAAAGTAACACATGGTTGTTGAAAAGAATGTGAGTTTATTTTCAACAGGTAAAGAAATAACTGTGCGAATACGAACGATCACAGTAAATTTATATGCATCACACGCTAGATAAAATAGATGTAGGTTGCGAATTGTCTACCAATTCTCGGCCTAATTCAAGTCAAATGCGACAGAATCTCTGCTATCAACAGTGAACTGAATACTATACCAATTTTATCACGGACCTACGCAAGGTGGAACCCCCTGATCCAAGGCATGGGTTACTCATTTCTCCTCCTCCGGTCGGTCCTTTTGTGTGAAGACGATAGGTAAACAAACAGGAATAGGTAATTCCGGTTAGACCTGGCATGAGCTGGTTGGAGGAAGTAAAAAATATGAGAAAATATCGGAAGCACTGGTCAGCTGTTTCAACCTGACTGAGTCTCATCAGCAGGGGGAATCCATCTACCCAACTAGGGACCGAGCACGGGACCTCCAGTTAGAACGCAAGGATACTACCTACTCGATCACGGTGCAGCTGATCAGACCGTTTTTCACTTTGAGTATACGGGATGTAGCACAAATCATCTTTGCGAGCTTAATACGGGTATAAACCTCGCTCATCTCACAGTGTAGCCATTTGTTTTATGATAGTATTGGACGATTTGATCTGATTGTAACTGTAAAGTACTCTTTAGCTTTTCAGTTCACGTTTCATTTACACGACGAATTCATCGTATATTCAAGTCAAATCCACTATCACTGCAAAACCAATTAAAAGAATCCATCCAGAACAGTCGTCGTCACATAACATTACTACATAAAGAAACGGGAGAGCGCGGGGCCGCAACGAACGAAAATGCCACATTAGTTAACAAAGAAATGCTTGCCGAGCTGAACAGGCCGATGTACCGTCCGCATTGTTGGTACCAGAGCCCAGTGGCTCACAATTCACATGAGACTCACGTAATGCGATTCGACCATACTGAGCAATTCTTTAGACGGTAAATTCAACTTCGGTGAGATCGGTACTGTTTCAGACGGCGCATATTCCGAGGAGGAACGATCGGCCCCGTTTGCATCCTGGCTGGGTGAATTGCAACCACCTACACTGGTTGGAATGGAAGTCAATCCGGTCAAGGTGACCAGCAAAACCACGTGCCCCCGAAAGCCTTCCAAGTTGTTCTTTAGGGTAAAACATCCTGTCCAATCAGGTAGGTGACGTTCAAAATCTAAATGCCCGCTAATTTGGAAGAACAAATGAGGAAAAAGTAAATTGCGTTAAGCTCTTCACAAATACACGCACGTGTTATCATGTGTACTGTAACTGTACTCTCTCACTATTTGACCTCGTCGACCTATATGTTTGTGACTAATTCTGATCAATCAATAAATCAAAGGTACCAGGGCTGAGACATATTGAACTGAGCGCCATCCTTGTTTTCCGATTAAAACAACTGGGAATGTGGGTGTTCACACATTAATCACCTTTGAATATATTTTTGCACCATCGTCAGTCAGTTGTCTATATATCCACTCATGCTATATGCCTGTAGCTTTCGCAAGCATAGCAACTGCCTACTAGAACCCCGTACATACGAGGTGTTGGAGTTTAGATGAGTAGGTTAACCACATCAAATAATATAAATCAGCGTGTGTTGATTAATTACAGAATTATCTTACCGAAAGAGGATCATGGGAACAGCCACTGCGTGATCGGTGATTTCCAAACTAAGCACCGTTTTCTCGCCCAATCGTAATCGGAATTCAAATTGTTGATGCCAACACGGAGAGGAAAAACTGCGAACAGTCTGCAATAGAGAATCGGATTCTGTAAACCATTTTGGGAGAAAGACTTGATGGATAACTGAGAAAAATGCACAAAATGATGTTAAAACTGGTGAGCCGTCAGGAGGCATCACACACACGCTGTAAAGATCAATAAGGATACTAATTTATCATAGTTAAAACTGCCACAATATTACTTTCAATACGTGGCACTCTTTGAATAACAAGCATGTCAAATCGAATTATACTTACTTGCCTAAGCGACTTGAGAATCTAACGACGTAATGAAAGAGAGGGTACATTTGACCGAACAACGGATTGATGGAAAATTAGAACCCTTACACTAAGATCGAAACAATGAGGTTAACGGATCGAGTAGCCATAACGTAAGTGAAGGGACACCACCATAACGCTACCAACAAAGGTCCCGATGCAGTTGGGTATGAAATATTCATGAAAAAATGATGCAACTGATATAAATGCAAACGGACCACACAATGAACCTGATTTACAGTGCGATTGCTCCATCATTTTACACCCTCTCGTCCCTCTCATCCGTGACCTTAAACAAGTAAGTTCCCTCTGACCCTTTTCTGTGATATGACTAGATCATATTCCGCGATCTGCGGCACTTGGAATCCCTCACCGCAACACCAGACTGCCTGATTACCGGCTTGTACGCTTTGTAATGCTCTCGTTGTCTCGTTCAGTCCATCCGTGTGCTGATGGCACTCCTGCTGCACAGTCGAAGTTTACTGGGTCTGCCTACGACTCCCGGCTGTAAACAAGGTGTGGTTTCTCTCTCGGGCTAGCTGGGCAAGCGCCAGGTCTGTAAATGCGTTGGTTGTTATCATGGCTTATTTGAGTACTCGTGGTCTGTCGATCGAGGAGCTCTTGGTGTTGATCGGAATGTTCTGTGAGAAGCTACACGAACTTTGTCTCAGTGATAAAGAGCGCACATAGCATGTGATACACTTTAGATTTATGGCAAACGATTTTCATGGCGGAAGAATGTTTTTACGGGAATCGTGTTCTGAAACCGGATAATTGCAAGCAGTCATTTTACCTGAAGTTTTGCATTCCTACACATATATTTGCTACCTATGGCCACATTCATCATTGATAAATATATCCATTAAATGTTTTTCAAGCATTGAGGGAAACAAATCTACAGCTAATCGGCTCCTCAGATATTCACAAATTGTTACCTGTGAGAAGTGTGTCAATAAGTGGAAAAATACGGTCTACGCAAAACGCTGAAATGCCCGTAACGACAATGTAGATCATGTAAACTGACTACCGATAGAAACTGAAGTAGTCCGTTACTGGTTACTGTTACCAGGATGTCGTTCTAAGTCTATTATATCTGATCACATGCGCGAATAGAAAACAGACTTCCAAAGTTCATCTTAACGAAAGGCTGTGAACGTGTTTGTATGACAGATAGGCGGAGGGAAGTAGAACAAATATTGATTTTTATTAGATATATCTTGAATAACGGAAGAAGTAATACGGATGACAGCACCATATCGCTAGGGGATGTTAACCAGTAGGACTGTAATGGAAGTCCATTTACAACTTTACCAATACAGCCGTTTTAAATCACTTGAGGATAGTCAAATCACTGCAGCTTAGGATAGATCAAGCAGCTTTTTACTTAGGAGATTAAGTAATCTAAGTGTATTTGCAATCGCCACCATTAAGAGTGAAATTAGGCGTCGCGAATGACTGAGAGCGTACAGTCACAGATGCACGCGGACGGTAAGTACATGCGAACCGCAATCCATCAAGAATAATCAAGAATTGTGCTCATAGATATCAAAGTATAGTTCGACGTAACCAATCACATAGTAGTGTGTTGTTTGTATACATTCTTTCACTTCTGTAGTCGTGAGAACGGTTCTAGACGATTGGTTGCCTGGAGTGGATTTCACATATTTTTGACCATCATAGTGCATCCTAGATTAGGTTGTTTCCAGGGGAGAGTTCAATGGTAAAAGCGGATTCGGAAAAATGTGTTCACTCTGATGGGTAACGGCTTTCCAGTGGTGATCACTTAGAGGAAGTGTTAATACACTTATTTGGGCGTTCAGTAAAATATTTTACGGGCGTAAGTAAAGGAACAACACAAAACAAGTTGTCCGCACCAACTATGGGTATTACAACAGTATTTCCCTTTTCACTTGTGCCATATACAATTTCGAAAAACACATTCCAGAAGGAGACCAATGGCTGCCTGAAAAATGATCGAATACCAAATAAATAAGAATTTGGGTTACCTTGAATTTTCCGTTGCTAGTGCATTACAGCCATTTTCGTTCAATATCTACCTAAATGAGATTTAAACCAATTTTCTCCAGTATAAAACATGTTGAGAAACACCTTGAATAATTTCATCACAAAGACCACTAAAGCCTTCGGGTACTCGTTTTTATCATTATTGCTGATAATGGTAAGAGTAGTAGTAAAAATATCAATGGACAAAACTGAAACGGAATCTTTTATACGCCCTACACTTACCCGACTCTTATGGGAAGATTTACCGATCGATAAAGTCGCCACATATGCAGGTACGGTTTCATCTGTATGGACAATCGGACGTCCCAAAACCGCTCGTTCCATGCCACGACTGGTAATCAATTTGCTCTTTGTGCTTGGACTTCGTGTCACAATCGCACTGCTATCGTCTTTCAGCGCAGGACTACTTGAGAAGCCGAGTTCCTCAGCTCGAATCAGATTGACCAAGAGACGAGCTCGCTTGTAATAGTTTTCCAATCGCACCTCAGATCGTCCGGATTTGGACGCGGTCAACTGCGAAATGCTCCGACACTGTTTCTTGTTCCCCACCGAGGTCGTGTAGAACTCCAATTTCGTTCCATCATAGAAAGCCAAAGGCCACTGAGGTTGGTGGAACGAGGCTGCATTAGGTAACAACCATTCATCGACACCTGGCTCATACTCGTCCATCGACGTGATTCCATAATCGGAAATGGCTTCATGGGATAATTCCAATGACAAATTTCTCGTACTCTCTACCCACTGTTGATGTAGCATGTATTGATTAGATACCTGTGAAGTGGAGAAAAAAATCCGATTTGTTATTTTCCACATAATTTGGGTGAGTAATTATTAAATGACCATGTTTACGGAAATCTTTTGCAATCTAATCAATACTCCACCCTCACCATCGTTTGTTCATGTCACCACCGGAAAAATTGAATGAGCTTACACCACTATTACTACTAGCATGAGAGTGTTCTGAAGAATTATGAATGTGCACTTAAGTGCGCTTTTAAAGTTCATTTTTGTCGGACTCTGAGAGAAGTTTTCAGGTATTCGAATTATGAGAGGTCTCGGTGGAATTGATGTCAGGATGCCAGCTTCAACTCTAAGCGATGTACGCATAGCCCAAGCGGCATTGATAGCTCTGTTGTTTTCGACTCTAAGTTCCAACTTCGCGGAGGCCATCGTTTATTCCCAACTGTTTTAGATGGAAGTGTTTATAGAAACGTATTAATTGCTGGAATGAACTAAGTAGGTTATGATGGCGAAGAGGTAACCAGGTCAATCCTTTATGTAGTTACCGATTAACTACAAAATAGTATGTTTGCACATTGTATAATCACTCATCGACCAGGGAAGTTGGAGTATTTAGGCCGAATTTTAATACCAAATGCCAAAACACTTGGCTGCTTCTAACAGTCGACGCTTCACTGATCATGGTTTGGTCCGGAAACTACTGTGAAGCTTAACCTTCCTTGATTATTTTTAAGCGCGTTTTCAAAGTGTCTCTGTACTGATTATAGTTACTTTTGAGACAGAATATCGGGGTTTCTGGTCCCCATGGCTAACTTTATTCCGATAATGACGTGGCAGGTAATGCATTATGAATTCTTTCACGTATATCACAATCGCTGGATGCTATCCGCATAAGCCTGGCATTGTGAACAAAGCGTGTAGAAAACAATATTGATTGGTCGTCCTATCAAATTTTTATGGATGTCCTGACGGAAATCTGTTGCCTGTCCGTTGCTTTCTCTGAAGTGATACGTTTCGATCTGAATGGTACACAATATATACGGTTACTAGAACCGAGAAGTCAAGAGATCTTAGTTCGCCTAATGCATACAGAGCTATTTAGCTGCATCTATTCACATGCATCCGAAGTCAAGAAAGATTTTAGCCCCTCAAATAATGACGATAGACGGAGTTGAGACTTTTCTTACCACCAATAGATGAAAAACTCGAAAGGAATGGGAATCGGTCGCCAAGATGACAAGCCCATTGGCACAGGTCGGGTGTGTGGTCCATTTGGTGTTTCGCATCATTTGCAAATGCTCCAAAGCAGCTATATTGGAATAACCTCGTGTTTTTCTTCACTGGGACTGAAATGCAAGCCCTTTCTGTTCGGTCGGACAGGTTATCGTGGGGAGCTTACTCAAGCAACAAGAGTACGTGTTTCATACCTCTCTTTCTTGTCTATATATCAATGACTGTGAGTTTACAGCCTAAATGGGGAGCGAAGTGGTGCTGCGTATGGAAGCAGGAAGCAATCTTGTTGACTTGCTTACTCAGATGAGTATTAGACAAGCGACGTTCTCAGTATGTGGTCGTATTTCTGGTTGCTGAGACGTAGGGGAAGCAACAATAACCTATGTAGCGCTCTCGATGCAGGCAAAATGGTCCCGGTGAAAATGAAATAAGGGATACACTAATCTAATCGTTCAAGTGTGTGCGTTGCAAGGTGAAAACAGTACACTTCTAAACTCTTGGGACATTTCGTATTTGTACCAGTCAAACGACCACGACCAAATACGTTTTCAGTTAGCGTTAGCAAAAAATTGGATGGATAAGTGTGATTTGACATCCGCTGTTTGCATAACAGATAGCGTAGTCTCATACAGACTATAGTATTCGTATTTGACTCACAGTTACTTGTGAGCAGTGTGTGCGTGTGGGATAACTGATTTTTATGTAGAATTGAGCTGACTGTCCTTCGGACTCTACCTTCACGCACAATCGTTATTTCATCCATTCAACCATACACTCGGAAGCACTAGACTCGAGTTTCCCTCTTATTAGAGCTTTGGGCTCTGGACCCGTCGCATAGAAGGCGTGTGTGTTACCACTGCACCAACTCTAGTCTGGTGCTTCACAGTGTACGGTTGAACTGATGAACGCACAATCCTCAGATTGTGCGTAAAGGTGAAGTCCGAAGGAAAGTCAGTCAAATCAATCAAAAGACAATGTTATACTTGTACGATCCCTTCAGATCCCCAGAAGACTTTAAATTTAATTCCTCAGTATACTTGATTAACCAACTGGTAGTACATATTCTGAATACCCCAATTTGTAGCAAGCATATTTTGTCAAATAGAGCTTGTCCTGATGTGAGTTCGGTTATGAAGAGAAGAAGAAAAAGAGATCATTCCATCAAGTAAGGTCCACTTGAGTTCCATATGTGAATTGTGAGCAAGAATATTTTTATGGAGAAGTCTTCCTGTTATCTCTGTATTTTCAATGTGAGATCAATTACGAGTCCGGAAAAGTTGTCCCGGTCTTCTCTAACGAGCACTGGTCAGTTAAATGGAAAGATTTCCTTGCTGTAAGTAAACGACTGCAAAATTGCTCTACTCACTGTGAGCGAAAACACATAATTGCCCCTGCCCTAAGAAAACTGAGCTAGTTCACCTTGATAAGCAACGTAATCAATCGTGGACTAGGCCATGTATCACGTTGAAATTGAAGAACAAAACAATTGTAAATCGGTTTCGATCACTTGGAAATATTGATTAATATTCACTTTAGACTGCCTACCCATAATTCAAGTCCCTATGGGTGGTAGTGTTGGCTAAACCACTTGAGTAAATTTAAATAACATTCATTGTTCCTTTGGGGTGGAAAAAGGGCATCGATACAGCAAGCTAAATTGAACAAAAGGCAGTTCTTCCTGTTTTTCGGTTCAGTGTCACCTCCCATTTATCGGTCTTATTTTGCAAAATCAGGTAAATGCACATATACACCCTCTGTGCGCCCAAAAACAATTTGCGCCAGCGCTCAAGCTAACCTGGTCCACTCCCCACACAGCGTAACACAAGTAATTTCGATGATCAAATGAGTGAACACAAAAATATATATTGAGATGTACTGGCATGAATACAGTTCTCTGAAAACCAACTTGTTCGCCAATTCGTTGTTTTGTTTGAAATGTGCTCTGTGGGGCGAATTCTACAAGAGTAGGTTTTCTTAACCTCTATCACAAATCATCAATGGTTCTATCAATATAGTTGGAAACAGTATTCCGGAAAAGGAAACTATATTGCTGATGGCCTCGTTAGCCTACCGATCTCTGAGATCCGCATTTGAGCACCTCGTAGCTGACTTACTTGCTTGGTTAGAAAAGTTACAACTGTATCAACCAAGGTGTCTCAAAATACAGCGTGGATGAGCGGAAACGGTGGACAAAACCTTATTTTGTTTTTGTGAGTCAGACCGAAATTATCGCAAAAAATACTTATTACGGGTATCTATATTTGGTATCTCAAGACCGACCAGGCGTGATGCTACGCAAATTGAATTCCGGCCACCTAAGAAACTGAAGGATAAAAGCATTTGCAAGAAATCACATTTAGTGACCTGGAATTTCAAAGGAACTAAACTATGTGGTTCACGGGCGAAGGGTGTGCAACTAAAATGGGAACACGTATTCCCTGATCCCTATCTCTCTGATAACATGAGCATTATAATCATAGACTCGTGTTTAATTGGTTTTACGCGAACCTCTCAAAGTACAGGTACTTTGAAAAATAGTCGACAACCTCAAAATGGATTGAACCTTGGATAACGAGGCATTGGTCGTTATTATCAGATGAACTAAATTTGCATTGCATGGAGTCCAAAATACTCTGGAGTTTGATCATGCTGCCGCCTTCACATGCAACACAAGGACATTCGTTTAGCAGAATGTGATTGAGCATTTGTGCTTCCAGCAATTTGACTGAACTAACAGTTGCGATGGTGAAACAGGGAATGGCCAAGCAAAATCCAGGGACACTACAAACAGAATTGCATATCTTTTAGTTTTACACTGCACGGCAGCGGATACCGCAACGGGACTATCCTCGTCTGAACTTCTGATGTAGTGCCGATTATGCCTATGGTTAAATCTAATTTGACCCAGCTGGAGAAAACGGTTCATCACCTTGAAGAGAAACTTAAAGGTGAGTGCACATGTACGGACGTTTAATGAATAGATCACGTCTCTGTCAATTTCGACGCTTTAGATCAAACCAGGGTATCACGATCTTTTGTTTCCAGCAATGGTTGAGTAATTGATCCAACAATAGAAGGGCGATGCATCGGATTTGTATCACCTGAAAACAAAACCAACAATCCGAGTAACAAAGAAGTGCTAGTAGACAACGCGGATGAATTCGAGTTCCCTATGACGACACAGAATGTCGCATCTGAAAGAGTAATTTGCGAAGGTTCATTGCGACAGCGTAAACCTGTTGCAGGCTGCTATGCGGGCTGTGCTCACTTGAGCGTTAGAGGGAAACCATATCTGTAGTCCATAGCTTCGCGCTCGCATGTCTCTCCTTCGATCAATTGAGTGACTATAACTCTCATATTACACTGTCCCCTTTGATCAACGCAAGTGGGATTGGAAATCGTCACCTTTAAACAGATGCGCACTCAATATAAGAGTTCCTCATTCAACTCTTTGAAATCCGTTCAAGTCATCTGTGTGAGTGAATGCTGAACGTATAAATCAACGGGTATTTTCGTCTACTTAAGCATGGAATTCACTTTGTTTATCGGTTTTTATCTGCTCCATACACTTGTATGCTACACTTCAATGTGTTGTTATCATTGCGAAATTTATAAGATAGCTTAGTTTCAGTGAGCAATGTTTAAGTTTAAAAGATAGTGGTAGCGGTCTCCCCAATGAAGTCAAGTCATCTGGCCTACAGCAAATTCGTATTTCAATGCTGGGGCTGGAATGACATAATCACCCTATAGCAGCAATTTATCCTAGTCATCGCCTACATGCTTTTCCGGATAAACAAACAGTTCCAGCGTTTGAACATGAAATTAGATCGTATGCATTTATATTACACTGAAATCCACGATGACTGAACAGCACTTACTGGTACAACATCCAATGTTGAACGAGAAAGTATAGGAGATACAGGAGTCATACGACTGGCATGCAAACGATCTTCTTTAATTTGTTTCAGCATGGCACGCCTCCGATCACTGGGAACACGCATCTCTGGAATCTCACTCAAAGTCATCCAGAAATTCAGTTCGCCGGAATACTGTGGTACGGATCGTCCTGTCTCGTCATGTAAATTCTCTGTAAATTCTCTGGCCCTAGAAGAACAAATCAATTAGCAAGGCTGTTATCTAAAATCAGTTATATCCATGGGAAAGAAGCAGAGCTTGTAGGGACATCAACATTTGAATTGATATGAATGGAGTAGATCAATTATTTTTATGGAAGGGGAGAAGCCGTAAGTTAAAAACCAGCCATTATTGAATTATTCAACCTTGGATCCAATTCGTCGCTGGCGGCAAATTTCACTCATTCATTTTCAACTGATCTGCATCAGCTTCTCACGTTCAACTGTTTCTGTGTACCTTCGATCGGTCTTTATTGCTTGATGCACTTCATGGTTTGCACTGTTTGGTCGTGCGCTACCTCTCATTCACTCACTCACTCACTCACACACTCATTCAGTCACTCAAACAAACGTTCACACACTCGCCTATACACATACCTGGATACCCTGTTGGTTAAGCAGAGCTGAATGCTATCAGGCGCGTCCCCGGGTTGTGGATAGGGGAATACCTTCACCGAAGAAGGTGAGCTACGAATAAGTTGTGGCATACCGCAAAAATAGGCAGTCGCGAACAAACTGCGGCGGTACTAACAGGGTGAGGTCACCTGACTCCTGTTTAAAAGCCACATAAGCCAATGGTGGTGTCTTGATAAAAGTGGATGTGACTCGTCAATCCAAACAAAAATCACTGACTCTCTCACTTCCGAGGTGAGGGATTACTTCCTGCCACCTTGCAGTTCACACTTGGTTGTTCAAAGGCTATAGATGCGCCCTCAAAATAAAAAATATGCCGAGTGACGATGCGGACGTCTTTCGTAGCAAACTCCCAAGGAACTCCATGACCTTGATCATGATCATGTCTGGAGCAGACTTATCCTTTCCAAGGAGCCAGCTTCAGTAAAGTAAAGTAAAAATGACCATAGACATACACTCACAGTGTGTCCCACAATCACCACCTGCCTGAACAGTGTTGACCTCGGTCAAGCTTGGCTACTTTAATTGAACGCGTCGCAACATTCANTATAATGAGATTATGATCGGCTGTCAAATTAGTCACCTGTTCGACGAGACGGTCACAACGACCGTTCGTCCGTTAGGAGCGACTCCTTCATATAAGTCCCAACTTTCTAACTTTCTAAGATTTACAGTAAGATCCCCACAAGAGTAGCAATACAGATTTTGACCATGAGAGGTTACACCAGAAACGCAAGAATATATGCTATCATGGCTGTTGTCCCCAGCCTCAAAATGGTTGATTGGCCCAGTTGTTCCCGAAGCATTGTTATTTTCACCTTTAACGGTGAATTTTGTTAACCGAATTCCTTCGCAGTTGGGGGTTATTCTTAATGCTCTGCATCATTTGTCCCGAGTCATGTTTCAATTTCAATAGTACGAAACCCTATTGAGACACGAGATGTTTGGTCTAGTGGGATCTTTACGCGTCACCCCATCATGGGTCGCCGATACTGTGAAATCAATACCCGATTCCATGTTTGCAGAAATAGGGAGTGCAGTTAAGTTCTCCTCAATAAAACTCGCGGTATGTCGTGATAAATAATGCCCTGGAAAAAACCAATTTTCGATATAAAATTATATAATCAGTCTAAAGAAGAAATGTTGGAGGAAATACAAATTCGACTGCATCTCTTTGATTTTCGTAAGACGGGTTCGAATTGAAAAACCACTATCAAGTTCATTAGTCTATCCTCAACCATGCTCAGCTTTGGCGAATCGTAAATGTCTTCCTGCATATCTCAGCTGATCGCGTGATCGCCAGTGTGCCGCCAACAAGTGAAAGTGGATCTCCGAGCAAGTAGCTTCAGGTAGACACAGACAGATGGACGCCAGTTTAATGCCCCGTTTGTTAGTTGATAATGCCGTTAGAATCACGGTGACGGCTCTGTTTATACTTTTTCAAATTGCATTCATCCAACAAAGGCGAAAAATGTGAAAACTCTATCACTTGAACTCACTGGCCAAATGCGAGTGTTGACGGATACACCATTGCTCGTCCAATATATTCGTCTTTTTTAAACGCATCCCGGTGACATACACGCAACTGGAAGGAAGGCAGGGAAAATATTTGGGTTGGATTTGAAAGAACTATGATTGAGAAGTCATGGTGTGTGTGCGCAATAAATAAGCAAAAATCGTAAGACATTGAGGGATAAATTGTTAGATAAACCAATTTTGTGTCAGTAGCATTTTGCAATTCCCCTTATCCAAAAGACGAAACTTCAATTAGTTATAGGAATGTACGAAGTGACTAATATCAGGCATCCCAGTGATGCTTATCAATAGAAAAACGGATACAGTGCAGCGATTAGAAAGTATGATCTGTGAAAAAATGTAATAGTGAACGGTCCCTTGTAATCAGAGGTGGTCTTTAACCACTACATCGAAGCACTAGAGGGGGAAAAAAGCTACTCACACTAGGGAACCTGGTAGTCGAAACTACAATCTATCGGAGTTTTCAAATAAGGCTAAAGGATTTGTTAACATTGCGGACCTTAATCGGGTAATTTAAATTGTTTAAGATAAATAAAATGCTATTCGTATAGTGTCTGTTTGCTACTGAGAAGTTAATACACGTGATGCCTCCTGACGAGGAGTATCTTTCGAAAAATGGGTATACACGCAAATGTTGTTCATTGTGATAATCGGAGCTTCAAAGCATAATCGCTTTCTTCAGAGCCAAAGTGAATTGTTGATAATAAAAAATGCTAGAGCAAAATGTTTTTCACTTTTCATTATTAATTATTACCTTCTAAGTGCAAATGACCAAAGGGACCATCTATTTTTGCGTACTAGATTAGGTTAGCTTGGTCACGTACACCAACATGTACATAAAAGCACTCCTGAGTTTTTCGAGAACATCGGATCTTGGCCATGGATCGATGAGCAGTCTTTTCGAGCTTTCTATCTCAGATAAACAATCGGGTAATCGAAAATCACGGATTGGAAAGAGGACTGTGAATCAAAAAAATCCATATTTCCCCTTCGACATTCCCACTCTTTTTGCGGTTTTCATTCTACTTGCGGAGGTAAATGCTCAGATCTAACCCTGAGATGCTTGGGTATCCTAGTTTCAAAACACTTTACATACTGCTATAACAGCTAAAGATTTTGCCGTTTGAGATGTACCTCTTGTTCAAGGGGGACAGAAATCACTAGCAGCAGAACTGACCAATTGTCCAATTGTCTATCAGTTCGCACGCGCACACATACACACCTTTCGCTATCGGAGGCGGAAGGTATAGGATGAGTGTTTGTTTGATCGCTATTTTGCTGGTTAAATACAGTCACTGATACCATCTAGAACTTATTGTAAGTTCAATACTGCCGCTGAAATTATCACCTCATTGATGCACGTTATCGTTTCTTCACTCAGCAATGCTTGATCAACTGATTATGTTTTATCTTGCATCTGTTATATAAACTCTGTTAATCGGACATGAACTGCCTTTACAGTTGGTAGTAAAACATCGATGCATAAAACACATCTGATTTGGTTTTACGCAACACTAATTTTAATTCAACACAGTTTCATGAGACATTTAAGCAATGGACTGAAATCAGGAATTAACGCCAGTCACAAGTGTGTGAGAGAGATTCAATCACTCACTTCTAACGGGTAATTCAAATTATTGATCGGGAACAGAAATTTCTCATCCCAAACCGGGTTTCGGTTATTTGCGATGATCGGTGTGCGCAGAAACGTTTTACCCCGATATCGAACTTTTACGTAGGCGTCAATTTTTCCTGTATGTTTTGATCGAATGCGAGATGGATAAAGGGGGGTGGGGTGAGACGAAATGATAAATGTGAATAAAACTATAGTTTTATGCGAATCATTGAAATGAACCTAGCAGCAGAGCTATATTGTATGTGCAGATTGTGCAAAGTTTACTGTAAATATTGTATGAAGAAATAAATCAACTCCCTTCAAACAGCGAAAGGAACTGTCTATTCGAGAACTGACCTTTCTAACAAAGCGTTCTCACCCCGGTCAAATTATTTTGAACATTCTCACGATTTTTCTTTCAGAAAAGTAATTTTGTAAATAGTTTTTCCAAAAGTGTACGCAGCATTTTACCGCTCGAAATTATCACGTAACCGAGTCTGGCATCGTACACAATACTATAAGCTTACCCGACTCAAGAACGCCGGTCTTCACAACCCAAGTAAAATATGATCTAGCAGCTATGATATGAGTGTAATGCTACTCATGTGAGTAGAGCAGAACGAAATTCGGATGATCCTCCTGTGGGGCACATCCCAAACTGAATTCAGCGCAAGGTTATCATGTGCGATCAACAAATGTGATAGACAACATGTTTAAAGATTTTACCGCAGCGTAATGGTGTGTGGTGCCGTTCTCACCTGAATTAAGGTTAGATTGGCCACATGGTTTGGGTCTGCGTGCCACATATGTTTTGACCACTGAAGTGAACTTGTTTTGAGGGGGGATAATTTTTATTAGTCTGTTTCTCCACATGATTCAAAATATGGCCATTTTAGATCTTAGATTGCATACGGATCCGTGGAACAGGATAAAAGGTCCATTCATTACTATCAGAGAGACCCATTTGGACCGACTGACAGCCGTTAATTCGGGTGTGTAGGACGAGGTTCTTTGTACTTGTGCATTGATTATTCGCATCGCATGTACCAAGTAATGGAAGATGGTTTAGTTTGACTGACTCTTCTCCAACCTTCATCTTCACACTTACCTTTCTAAGTTCATTCATCCAATAATACAACCCGGGAGGTATCATATTCCAGCTTGAACCTCATCGGAGCTAACGAGTAATGCACATTAATGACCAGTAACTGGTGTTCACTGTGACTTCAAATATTCTAAATATTGAAAGCAAAAGTCGTGTCCATATGGAATACCTGATTTGGTGTGACGTTATCGCTTGAGATAAATAAGGAATATACATTATCTCTCTTCTTTGCTGTGTGGTCAGACTGACTGACTCCCCACCTGATAGCTCAACCAACTGGAATTAGTTTGCACGATGGTGAGAAACACGCCACGTTCGATACGAATAATTCGAATTTCACATCTCAAACGGGTTGGTGGATATGTGTGAATGATAAGGTCTGCCAATCGGGCTTCCTGAGTGTGTGGTGTCCGGCTGAACCGAAAATTTGGCTGGTTGCAACCTAGTCTGAATGCTATGGAAACGTTTGTGATAACCGACAAAGAGCACTGGACACCTGTTTCGTCCTGTTTGGGACGTGTCAGCAGTGCGTAAATTTTATGTCTGTCAGGGCTCGAACTGGGTAAGGATTTGAAGACCAACCCGAAGGTTCATGGTTCGAGTCCTGATAGGGACAAAAAACGTACGCACTGCTGACGCTTCCCAAACAGGACGAAACAGCTGTCCATTGCTCTTTGTCGGTTATCGCAAACATTTCCATCGCGTTTAAATACATCCAAATAGTGAGGAATTAACGATCTCCCAAGAAGTGAGACTCATATCCAACATCATCAACAGTGTGTGGTGTCCGTGAAAAACCCATTGGGCTAATCCAAACATTCTCCATCTAAATTGAAAAGTAACCAGTCAAAATCATGAGCACTTATCCAAACACAACCAATCATCGGAAAGAGTTAAATGCGCCATTTGGTTCTAAGATCTGGATTGAGTATCAGAGTGATTAGATTCATGTTTAACAATACCCATAAGTACGGAAAATCCTGTGAACATAGGGCGGATGTGGGAGAAGAGCCAACCTTGTTGTTCCAAATTCTATGGTTCTTTGTTCGATCCCTTATGCGGTCACAAAACGCAATGCATCGTTAGAAAATTTGTGAAAGAAAATACCTTTATTTTCCAAACGTGCGAGATGCTTCAGTGCCGATGCGGGCGAGCACAAACAAAGTCATTTTACGCCATTACATATATCCTGATATGCTCATAAATAAATGGAACAGTTCACCGTTTTATGGGAAGTGCAATGTCAACTCACGATTCTTGTTCGTCCCTGCCCAAATAATAACCACATCAAATTATTTTATTGTAGAATAGTTTTTAAACTTATTGGTATATATCTTTTGAATTTCGATACACTAAACCACCCAGAAGTGATTTGGGGTAGATGTGACAGTTTTCTAAATGGTTGTTTGATTTTAAAAATCAAATCAAATTAGCAAAGCAAGCCGTTTTTTACAACTCGTCAAATGTCTACTTACAACTAATTAGGTAACGTTTTCAATATTTTATGATCCAGTGCTGGGTGGATCTTATTAATCACCTACGTGCGTCCACAATTCGATAGAGCTTCCTCTTAGTTTGACGTTATTCCAGTTACCACGCTGAAATCAGTCTGTCCGGTCATGTTTGAGATAATGCTGGGACGAAATGCTTCTAATTTCATATTGAAGAGGGGTGTCGGTGATCACAATTGCGTCGGCCCGTGAGCAGTAGGATGAGGCGTACTGATTTAGATGATAACGGCGAGATACGATAAATGGGTTTGAACGCTCGCTTTGATGATTAGTTTCCAGCAGGTAATGCCATATCACATTTTTCGTTTTGATTTGTTTTATCATTTCAGAGGGCCAGCTGTCCTATTGCGAGAAGCGTGCATTTTATTCACGTTTATTCACCATAAATCAAATTTACTTGTCTTCTCTCATTTGGTTACACTGTGGTTCCATTGCAGAGAATTGTAATGCTAGTGAGGAACTACGAGAGATGGAGAATTTAGTATTTATGCGATCTGCTTTAGTGTCATGTGTTATAACCACTCATTCGTGATCCTAACTGACCTTTATATATTCTATTTTGATGCACTTAGCCCATCCAGTCAACCGTAGACTCTTGCGGTACTCGAAATGAGCTTCGCTGTTGTTAGAGTGACTTGGTAGAGTTTGTCCACTGAATCATACATCACGATGGGGTCCGTCAATCATACTCCATCGGTCCCAATCGGTAACAACTATGCTGCACCACCAGCAAACTACCAGTAAACGTGAGTCCAGAAATGAAGTAAAAAGAATCTTACTCAATAACGCATCAGCAAAACATATGTTAGCTGAATAAGTGTCCGGACAGCTCTGATTTATCTCCTGCATAGCTTCATATCAGGAATGTTGTGCACAAGATTCAAGGCAATGGGAATACAAACAACTTGCTTGAAACAAGCACCTTACGTTCACGAAACTGAAGCGCATTTCAGTATACCACACGACGTTGTGGGATGGTTGAAACGCTTGACTCCTCATTGTCATAGAATCATCTGAACTATCCGACTGCATCTCAATGAGGTTCTAGTCCAAGTGACCGACTGACAAGCAGTTGATATTGTTTCGATTTCACCTAAAAGTTATATGTGCGTGTTGCCGTGAGTAAAATATTATTGAATTGGTTGACTGATCCCCAGGACTCCATCTTTGCAAGCACTCATCGGTTCATGGAGTTAACCACACACTAAGGAAGCTAAAGACTCTAGTTGCGCTCTCAAGAAAGCACATCAGTAGTTCATACCAACTGTACTATCCGATATTCGAACCCCGGAACCGATAGCAGGGATGTTTAATAATACTGCGCTGAACAGCTTATACAGGGATTTGACCATTACTACTAAAGTATGTTTGTTCAGGTTTTATCTGGCAGAATTATCAGTCACTTTAGTTTTTACTCGACTGAAATGAAGGCAGACGGAATACGGATAGCCTTCAACAATTCAGGTCTTCCATGTTTGGAAGAATTTATCACGATAAAACTCATTAAACTGGACGTTTCATGTACGCTAACCTCAACGTTGCATGTTCGTAGCGGAATGCGAGAAGTGATTCTGAGCTTGTAGTGATTCCCATGTGTATGGTTGATTGTATTAACTGAGAATGGTGCTTGAAGATGAAAGTAGGAGGATGGTTAGTCGAAATCAGCGTCACTTGTCCCACACCACGNACCACGACTCACAAACAACTATGAGGTAAATTTGACTTTATGTACCGAACAGTTACTATTGCATATTTCACAGGAGAGACTACATTATTTTGGATGCATAGGAAATTCGTCATTGGTTGTCATTGGTTGAACTCTTGCCAACATGTTGATGCAGCAAGGACCAAAAGCCGGTATGTACCCTCCCCGTGTTGTTTGTCTTTTTATCTTTGAGGACGACATACATTCTGTTAGTTTTTAGTTATTTTTTACCATAGCCATTCTGACTCTTCGAAGCACTGTGCAAACAATACCTACCTTTTCCAGGTATGCTGATGATTAAGCATGCAAATAGAACCTAGTAATGGAAGCTCTAATTTAAGGCCCGGGGAAAGGAGGATACTTTTCATTCTGACAAAGCACTAAAAATCGGTTCTCGCAGATTGGATGTCCTGAATTCAGTTTGGCCCGTTCACCGAGCTTGACAGTTTGCTTACGAACGTTTCATCACCAGCCGTCCTGACATCTTCCATGCTTATGAAGTGGCAGGTTTTCCTGTGTGGCACGCAACTGACTGACACTTTGACATGCACGCCTGCGACAATTGAATAAAAACGTTACTACGTGGAGCATGAGCAATCTGCATTGTAGATGAGCTTCGAAAACAGCAATTCATCACAATAAGGTTTCGGACCCACGAATACTCAGACAAACTCGTTGCACATCATCGAAAGGTCAGAGAATAAAATCAATCCAATACCGACGGATGAAAAAGCGCTTTGGGAAATTTCAGTTAATTGGCTCGAATGAGCCCAAAGAGTCGAGCTTTGAATGATATTCGAATAAGCTTATTTGGTTCACATCCTTGTATATCCATTGCCAAATAAGTTTTTTCACGGCTGCAAAAATCGCAGAACGGAATTCGATTTATTCAGATGAGTCTGAAACCATCATAGTGGCTCCCATGAGCATCTGGTGACGTCATTGCAAGCCAAATCCAGGAACCCAGCTACATCGATTGCAAAATAAATCATGGCACCCACTCTTATAAGGATTCTAATCTAATGACTTTGTGTATATGCAGTGCCCTTTGCAATTTCAAGAAATAATTCACAAAATGCATTTGCAATCAAATAACTTATGTTGATATGTTATAGCAACCCAAGTCACTTCGCTTTGTAATCAGCCTCGATATCACTGTTCAAAAGAATTCACCATCGATTGAGAAAGAAAATCAATAAAAATCAGGTCGAATATTGGAAAAACGTACCACTTGGATTGCGGATCGGCAAGGCTCGAGCAAGTCGTAAGTACAGCAGAATTTGCCAGAAGAAACCCTCTCGTGGCAGAACCTGTACAATAGATTACAGACGGGTGGGCAAAATATCTAGATTAGGACAATGACTCTTCTTCCCCAGGCAAAATCCCAAATCATCAGGATCGGTCTTGAGTAAAGGGAAAATCATCAGCCTTCCGAAGAGATCAGTGTTGTTCAACGACGAAACAGTACAGTCTAATGTGGGTTTCTGTGGTGATCCAGGCCCACACGATGGCGTCTACCCTGGAGCGGCTCTTTACAGTTTCAGGACATTTGCGATCAATCAAGTTTGAATGCCGACGTCAATGACACGTGCATGGCATCTGAATACACGTCATTGGTGGATGGTGCCAGCCAATCCAAGACAGTGCAGACAGAAGCAAGATTATGCAAGAAGTATTGCAATCCGATTGGTAGAAGCCTAAACAACTAGTAGCCTTCTTTTCGCGTCTCGTTCTCTTGGGACATTGCGAATCCGTGCCATTGCGGTCCAGTGCTTCTGTGATCCACTCCGTGATAGCTGATTATTGATTTGTGTCTAGTGATTCCTATTGCATGGTTTGCATTCCGAATTCCGTGCGTATTAGTACGGCTATTATAATCATTAGTTTCTCCCACAAGATCGTGAATAGCTGCATAGTCAAATCCTCCCCAGTCCTTGATACGAATCCCATTTCATCGACAGAGTTTCCAAACTCGATCAATAAATCATAAGACTGAAGAAATTAGCTTGTCTTAGCCACGACGAAAGAAAACCATAACAACAAGGCGTTGGGGACCAACGCCTGTGTGTTATGGTTTTCATTCGTCGTGGCTAAGACAAGCTAATTTCCTCGATAATCATGAGCACGACGCCCAACTTTTCCAGTGAGATCCGTTCCATCCATGGATCTCGTGTTAAAACCATAATACTCATTTGAAAAGTGAATAAAGTGAAATGTCAACAGGCAAAGTAGATCACTGGCAACATTGAAAGAACTGTGAACAGTTGTGTCATGGTTCCTAGGATCCGTCCTAGCTATACCGGCAGCCTCCGGCATATCAAACGACTCAAATGCAGATGGGCTGCGTTCGTGAGCTCTATGTTGTTCTGGTTAGCTATTACTTTTCGTCTGACGCCCCTGTAACACGACGTGGTGCTCGTTCGTTTTTCCCAAGCAAATTAGGCTGCCTTCCTCCATATGGAAAGAAATAGGATGACCCTTAAGTATTTCAAATAATGAAAATCCAAAAGTATATACGTATGCTGAGTTCATTAGGAGGAAGGAAGTGGGAAAGTCACAAGATAATATATTCACATATCAGTGAGCAGAAGTTCGTTCATCTTTCTAAGCCCACCGACGGACAAAGGAACAAACCTAATCCTCAAATGAATTCTGAGCTGCACTCAAAATAAAAAACAAATACAACTAATGAAAAAACCAATACGAAGTTTCCTTCGTTCATAGTTACGTAAAGCTTAAAATTTATTTTCGTACTTTGGTGATAAAACCAGCAAATATTCAAAGCCATTTCTTTCAAATAGATTTATTTTGTGCTTTTATACGAAGAGTAAAAACAGAATATAATCGCACTGAGTTTGGCTTGAGATCAGAATGAACATATTTAAGTTTAGACTGCAGGGGGAGTGGCCTGGAAATCTGCATCAAATTGACTGGATCGAACCATTGGTGTATCGAATCTAGGACCTCACAGACACAAAATATATCACCAGATGTTTTAACTTTGTCTAATTTACAACTTACTGGATCAGATTAATTGCTGGAGCCTAGGCATTGAATATATATAGTTCCACGTCTACTTACACCTAAGTTCAATATTGCATTAAACCTCTCATTCTCTCTGAGTATGTGAACAAGAGCATACGAATTAATGTCACTAGATAGCGACAAAGAATCCGGAGTGAGTAGAAACACAGTTTTTCTAATATCAAGGTGTACTAAATTATACCTAGCTATTCGGATAGAGCGTATACATCTAGGGAGCGAGTGGTTTGGAATTCGGAGCAAGCAAGTTGTTTGCATCATTTAGGAACCAAAAAATTAAAATAATATTTTGCACACAAAATAGAACAAACCCTCTTTTATCAGACAAAGTTAACATGACCTCTATTTAGGTTCTCGAAACGCATTACAGTAATTCGGCAAATGATTCGTCAGAATGGAAGTCAAAAAGGGAGAATTGGTGCGGTGCTTTTGTTAGCGATTCCTCACTATGATGATGATATTAAATAAACAGATTTGGGGGAATAAATTAATGTGATTAAAGACCGAGTGGAAGGCATGACCTCACTCGTTTGGTTGACCAAGACATGGTTCGCACACGTCTACTCGACGATGCTTCATGATGAGCAGCAATTCCTGTTCAGTCCGCTACTACTTAGTGAGATATGAAATGTTTTATCATTTGCCTTTGTTAGAAACCGGTTCCAAGGACGACAAATCCATGAGTTACAGCCAACGGCTTGTTTAACCATTCCCTTACAGGCCTCTATAATCGTCCCATTCAAAAACGTCAGTTTGTGTTTTTATTTGTGTTACCGAACTACAAATGCAACGTTTGATTACTGGTTTTGCAGTCTGGATAACAACAAAGTTTTGAGTGTCGCGTTTAATTATCAACAGTTCTATCTACTCGCGTTGATCAAATAACCAATTGCCTAGTACAATATACTAAATATTGTGTCACAAAATCTGCGAATTTTGAATTTTATCTGCATCTGGATGTTCCAATAACTGAATACTTTTAAAGTACATAAAAATCTCATGTCATATCAATCAGAATACATTATCAAAACAATCTTGTACTCATTAGATTAGTCATGCATTGTATCTACTGAGCTGTATATTACCGGATAGGGGAAATTGCAATGTTTAATGTGCCTTTTAACAATTCCAAATGAACTCTACAACAGCGTTCTGAACTCACGTTTGACTGTATATCTGTAAACACAACACCGGAATCTGCATTCTCCTCTGAAGAGATTACATCCTGTGATTCCTGACCTCTCAGTCTGAATTTGCTCCCCTCATTGTCCGTATCTGTTGTACATTGGAAATCCTCACTCGGTGATTCATCGATCGTGTCTCTGTACGCATTGGTTTTCCAGTCTGAACCACTTTCATTTTTTTCGCGAAATTTATTTATCACACTCAAATCGGTCAAGCTTATTGGGGCTTCCAGCGCGAATCTTCGACCTCGATTGGCCAACCAACTTTTACGCACCTCGCTCCCCTTTGGATTTAAACGGGACGGGAGCACATTTTCACAAGGTCTTAAATCATTCCACGACGAGGCCCTGTGCATCATCTCGGCAGGCGTGGCAAACAGGTCAACGCTCCGATCGACCAACTGCCAAGTCTGCTGCAATGCAATAAATCCGCACTCCGTCAAACATGAAGGTAAATCACCCGTACTCGATCGTCTTCGTCTGCGGGACTGGAGTACTGATCCTACTGCAAGTGAGGTATTCATCCCACGTGATAAAACGACACACAAACAATTCGACAAATTCACGTGTTTTTCGCGTAACCTGAACTAGGATAGGAGTCCGTAGAATTACACGGAGACATTCGCGACCTCTTATTGGAATTCCAATAGGAGTGAATGATACCAGGGGTTTCCCACTGATCTAACAATCACATGAGTCCCAGGAGGATCACGTGACCCGAACTCGTAGATCGTGTGATTTATTCGCTTCGCTGTAGTGCATGTTATACTAAAGTTTGTAACACATGCACATGACCGATGTGTTGAATACAATCAATGTGAACAATCGATCAGTGAGCTTAGCAATCGCATAGGATTAGTTGACCCAGAAGCCCCCATTTCCGTTGACAATATGACGACTATTGTTTACAGTAAGGTCACAAGGGAAAACGCCAGCAGATCTCGTACAGGTCTTAACAAGAGTCGCTTTTAAAATTACATTAATTATCCATTAAAAAATAATTAGATAACGCCCTTTAATATAGTTTTCCACAATAAGTGCTGATACAAAGCTAACAATTTTTGTCCTATTGGAGCCTCCCCGTCCTGGTCACGTGAGGACGAACTCAGTGTGTGCGCATTCCTCAGGGTAACTTGCAAAGCATGAGTCAATCCTGGTGACTGTAGCCGGAATACTCTCCCAAATCAATCTGAAAAATAGACATCGTGGTTGATCTTGTGAAGTTTACAAGCCCTTCCTTCGACTGTTTGGGACCAGACTCAGTCGCTGAAATACTTCGCACGTCCAGTTAGGTTCCCATTATTTTGTCTAATTCATGTGCGCTTCGGAAAGAGCATATTTTTCGTCGTCGGTTAATCTTACTGCTTGACGTTTTACTCTATCGCACTCATCAATGCTGACCTGCCGTATCCGGAACTAGAAACATGAAGTGACGGAAGCGCAGACGACGACGTAGAATAAAATGTGTCTGTTTATTACTTCCTTCTTTATTTATTGAATATACAATTATCCAGTCAAGATTCAGGAAGGGGTCCATGGCCATATAAAGACTACCTGGAAAAGACAGAATTAGGGAAGACGGGCGGCGGTGGAACGGTTCGAACCAAGGCCTCCTAAGTTGGTGATTTAACCACTTGGCCACCACCACCATCCTGCTATTTTCTTCTGGCGCAACTTGAGAACACTCCTATCTGCGGTCTAATTATCTATGAAAAGGCAGGCAATGGACTAGGCAACTGAACTGTGATATAATGATTCTAATCGTACCACAGAAGGGCTGCAAGTAGTTATATATGGTGCTGTGAACAAAGACCGCGAGAGTGTCGTAAAATAACTGGAATTTGGCTTGCATGATAAATCCGTTGGTTAGCGACTATTTATCGTCATTCGACCACAAGAAGTGCTGCCAGTGGTGGTATTGCGGTCGACAACTAACTGATTCGCTTGCCATACATGGCTGTGACCAGATTGATTGATTGATCGATTAACTGACTATTTGAATTCTGGCTTGACGGCATTCGCATGTAGTGAAACTTGTTTGCCGAGTCGGCCTGCCTGCCTGCCTTCCTACGTACGGATTGTTC